ATCAATCTGATATCACTGACATAAAGAGGGAAAGCACACTAAAAAAAATCATTAAAAAAACATTTCAGAAATAGGAAAGCTGATAGTCCAAAGAACACCAGTCAGTGCCAGATATTCAGATATATCAGTAACGCTTGAGAGATTGCTAATGGAAGTCTAGAATAACTGCACTGCAGTAGGATGTTGTCACATTGAGCAGGAAGTGACGCAGCAACCTACTGTATTTCTGCATTTGTTTCTCCTCCTCACTTTGTTTTTGATCCTGGATGCATATGTTGCTAAAGTCTATTTAGTAGGTGTTAGAATTCTACATTTCCTGGACAGTTGCTGCCTCTGCTGTCGTCTTTTTGCTGTGCAGTTTAAATAGTTCTCATCAAAGCCAAATATCTATGAGAGATTTCTAAAACATCAACAAGGGTTTCTAAAACTGTAAAAGACTTTCTCAAGTATGAGGGTCCAATGGTCTTTTAGATAGGAATTGTGTTTTCAAAGTGTAGTCATAATAAAAGACCAGAAGAAGCCCATTTGTTTCAACTGTGTTTAAGAACAGATGATTTCTCCTCACTTTGCTTTTGCCTTTTCAGCATTTTTTTAGCTTTGTCTAAGACAGCAGTAGCTGTGTTCACTGCTGCCTCTCCAACTGAGTTTGCTTGATCAGCTTCATCATATCCAATACAACCTCCTGCTACTGCTCCTGCTGCTGCAGCAGCTCCTGCAGCTACACCTAATCCAACTCCAGCTGCTGAAGTTCCTCCTCCTGCTGCCACTGCTGCCTCCACTGCTACTGGTCCTATTTCAATCAAGGCTGCGATAACTGATAAAACCATCACTGGCACACCAAGCAAAGCTCCCAACAGCACTCCTGTGGTAACACCAACTATTTTCTTGAGAAGATTTGAGACATTGATCTTTGCCTTCTCTCTGATTTCTGTCTCTGGCATGTCTGGTGATGACTGTCTGATGTGCTCCTCCTCTTGTTGTATTTTTTTCTCCACTGCTTGTAGCATCTCATTGGTGTAGCAGCCTCCTTTGTCCACCATTACTTGTATTGTGTTGAGCAGCTGTGTCACCTGGACTTTATTATTCCTGTATTCTTCCTCTTGGTTGTTCTTCCAGTATTTATTATCAATGACGTGGCAACGACCGCCGCACTTCTTCACCAGATCACTCAGATTCTTATTCTGACTGACAAACTCGTCAATCTTAATTCCTCCAGGGAGCTGGTCACCATGAGTGAAGACAACTACAGCATGTTTGAAAGCTTCCTCAGAGAATGATTTGTGTATTTTGTCAATGGCAGCCTGCTCTTGCTCTGTATATTTCTCCACTTTAAGCAGAATGAGAAAAGCATGAGGCCCAGGAGCGCACTCTGTGATACACCTCGCTATCTCAGACTTCAGCTCCTCCTCAGATCTGTTTGTGTCAAAGAAACCAGGGGTGTCGATCAAAGTGATTCTTCTCTCATTGACAGATTTTATTTTTTTCTCACATTTGTTTGTTTCAGAGTTTGCAGTGTGGTTTATCTTGAACATATCTTCTCCAAATATGGTGTTGCATAAGCTGCTTTTCCCAGCTCCAGTTTTTCCCAGTAGGACGATCCTCAAGTCTGACTCTAGAAAAGAATAATGATATTGAACCTACTTTATTTCTTTTGCATCTTATTGTGCTACTCAGCACTGTGATGTGACTTCTAGAAATATACTTTATGCACACTTTAGTGCATAACAAAGAGTGACAGTATTTTAAAGTTAGCTTCTATAACTAGTACATAAGACAATGTAAAATTTTTAACTTTAGCTTGGCTTCTTATTTTGTGCCTTGTGAAATAATAATTTCTTTGGTTTGAGCAGACAGTGTGGGTTAATATGGACAACACCTGGTAGAAACACTGAGTGTATTTCAGAGAGATAAAACATCCAGTTCATGTATTGATAGTTGTCCATAGTCTTTGCAATATTGTACATTACTGTATGTCAATAGAAAAATATATTTATTTAAGTTATTTCCTGGTTAATAGGCTGTGAAAAGAGGTTTCCAATCTCCTTTAAGTGTATCTGTCAGAATGAATCATGGGATTTAATTGTGCTTAATAGCTTCTCCAGGGTCTAACTCACTGTTGTCGTCTTGCTCCTCAACTTCAGCGTCTGGATCAACTTCAGTGGAACACAGAACGTGTGGAGGAGTTCCTAAGTAAGAAGTTAGACCAGATATAGACATGAATCCAACTTTCAACTACTCTCTGTTTTCAGTCATTAATGTTTGAATACAATTCACACATAACATGAAACATAAACCTACACAGAATACATTATAATTGATCTTAACTCACCTTCCATGATGTTAAAAAATTAAATCGGGTTGGAACTACTGTCAAAATTTCTCTGCTTGGATTCTGTTTTGTCTTTCTCGCTTTCAAGTGATTGCATTAACAACCTATGACGTATAACCAGCAAAGACTTTTCATTCTGGTTGTTCTTGATCTTGAAGTTTCCGTGGTGGCTGAGGTTTGAGGTTTGAGGTTTGAGGTTGTGTTACTTTCTAAAGTTAAAACACTTCATTACATAGTCAACCAAAGTCATGTCTTTCTTGAGATTCAATTATGTAATTATATAAAATTTAGCATATTTAATTTATATAAAAATGATAAAAGTGAGTTTGGAATGATTTTTTGGGCTTTTGCTCTCAGTGGTTCTATCTCAGCTCAAAGCTTAAAATATATGGATGTGTAGTATCTTATCAGCATGTGTGACACTGTAGCTCTTTGCATGTTATATTTTCATCATTGATGTTTTTCATTGTCCTTGATGCTTCATTTTTAACATAACAAATACTTATAGACTGCCATAGAGGTAGTTTAAGCACTATAGACTTTGAAGGGTTTTCTGTATTGCCTTTTATAGCAAATGTCTGTGTTTTTATTTTTGGTCTCTGTTGCCTGATGACATTCATTCAGTCAATCCTCACACATTCAATGTACTTACAGTAAAAGCAAAAGTGCTTCTTACATCGAGCTGCTATAGTCAGGAATATCCAAAATGTCCTGAATATCTGGATTACTAATTTCTGTCACATTTGACCTTTCCTGTCTTTTCTGTGAGTCAGAGGGAGGCAGCTTCACATTTTCATATCATTTTAGAGTGTTTTCTCAGAGAGTTAAGCAGTAGTGGACAGGAATATTTTGCATGCACCAGGTCTGCGTGCCTCTCGAGATATGAATCAGTGTGGCGTGCAGCTGCATTCATCCATTTGATTATAGGTTCCTGGTTTATGCTGCCAAAGATTGTAATCATCTGGTAACAGAAAAGTTTTTTTTCCAGTTACAATCTTGGTATTAGACAAACTGGGTGGCAGTCACAGGGTCCACTATAAGAAATATGTAACTCACAAATCATTGCTTTTATTTTTATTTAACCACCAAAACATTGACATTGTACTTATGTATTCGTAAGTATCATGTTCCCATCAATCTTTCATGCACACACCACTGCAGAGGTGATGGGGTACCTGCTTAATTAATGGATGGATGACAGTGGATGGCAAATCCAGGCGCAAGAAAAGTTCTTTGAATTTTTTTATTTGTGATAACAAATAAGTTAAAAATGTCCTGAAGTATGGCCAGCAGCTGTGTTACTCCT